CTCGGTCTGTTGTATTTCAAACCTGCGGATTCCAACTTCTCTCTTGATTTCTATTTTTCTTTCTTTTTTGTTGAAGGAACGAAATAATAAAAATAAAAAATTATGAGTACTTTTTGACAGTCTTATTAATCAAATGGGTTTTTGAGTTGGATGATGAAAGTTTGTTATTATTTTTTTTTTTTTTGAAAAACATGAGAAAAGAAAATTAAATATGGACTTCAATTTGCCCCATCAACTGATGAAGTTTCTTTTTTTTTTTCTAAATAGTTAGGGTATCTTTAAGTTAGTTTTCACATATAATGAGATTAATTTCTTTCTGGTACAGTCAAAGACATACCATTAATATCAAAATTAAGAAATTCATTAGAAATTACTCCTTTAATATCTCTGAAAAATCAAATCTTACTCAACAAGTACGCATAATTGCAACTATGTTAATTGAAATATGACAAATGAACACATCTATTTGCGTTAAGAGAATAATAGGTATTATAGTGTAGTTCATAATGACCTTAATTTTACCATATGACTTTGCCTTAACAATAGCACAACCATGTATATACATGAGATACTATAATCTCTACCAACAAGAGCTTAGCCAATACATTATTTATTTTAAATTTGATCAAATATAAGTATATCATTATTTACATTTCATATCTCCACTTTTGCACATAGATTTCAAATTATCTTCTTCTTTTTTTTCTTTTTTTTCTTTTTTTAACTTGTAGGGCACATGTTTAAGGACAAATTTTTTAGTATTAATTGGCTTTAAAAAATCAGAGTTGATCTTTATTTAATCACTTGACTAATTAAAATAATCTATAATTAAAATAATCTATATGATCTTTTTTATTATTATTTTCAATACAAATTAATATCAGAAGGATGTATAACTACATGTTAATGGCACAAATTGAAAAACTCCTTCAAATTATTATTTATAATTTATGAAAAATTATCTCAAGTCACTCTAAACAACCCCGGATCGAATCTTAGCGATGCCTAAAAGTAGTTTAGTCCTCAATTGCCATAAGTTACCTTAGATTTGAGGTGACATGCAGTGTCATAAATTTTTCATTTAATACTTTTACAAACTCAAGTATAAAAAGGCTATAGCTAGACCAAAAAGGTTGAAATTTACTAATGACCTTTTTTCAGAGTTTAAATATAATTATTTTTATAGCTGTATCATGTAATTTCTAGAAGAAATTATGCGTATTACAAACAAAAAAATGATGCATATTAAAGTTTTAATCGGTGTCAAGTTATACAAATACTTGTTAAGTTACTCCCAGGGGATTCAACACCACTCAATAACAAGATTGATTAAAGGTCACAGGAAGGAGCTTGAGAGTTGGAACCATGTGTGGCCTGGTGCATTAGCCGGGGTACAATATTCCTGTATGGATCTTCTTCTCTTTTCTGCTTCAAGTAAGCAATGCATCTATGTAAATACAGTTGATAACATTTCTCCCTATCTTTCAGTCCTTGCTTTCTTCCTTTCATATAATAAAACCAAACAAACAGTTTTTAACGTTTCAATTAAAGCCAGCCATGAGCCAAACCATAAATAAAAAAAAATTACTCCATAAATTAATGTAAACAGACTATATATGTAAATACCTTGGGTCAAAGGTTGAGTCAAAGGTTCCTGAAACAGGAACTGCCCCCATTAATCATATTGAGTCAAAGGTTGATGCATCAGGTAACCTGCCTTCTCTCAATCTTTCAAACAGCAATGGATGTGCTATCCCTCGCAAGAGGATATTTCTCTGAGTAAGAAATTCAGATACCAAGGAAATAACTTCTAGTCCCAGTAACATGTGATAACCAATGTACAGGACGGGTCCCTCCAATGGAACCCCGGTAAGGCCCTTCACCACCTTCCCATCCTCAGTAGTTGAGAGCATCACAGAGCTAAGAGCAGCATTTAACCATCTCTCTAGGAACAAAGTCAGTTGAGAAATCCAAAATCAAGACTTATATGTGATGGCACTGCAATTCAATTAAAAACATATATAAAATTCCTATGGTGAGCATGATAAGTGTCAGGTTTTACTGTCATCAATATTCCACTAATTAATCTTTGACATAATATGCTCTTTTCTTGACATAACAATAAGCTCTTGTTATTCTGCGCCCTCCTCATGACAGAATACAACTGGTATGTCTCTAGCCTTTTGGTACATGGTTGACATTTGCTTTGTCCAAAGATGCTTACCTATTTGATTCATATAACTTCTAGAATTCAGGAGGTGTAGGTGGCATGTAATCTGACAACAGTCATGGTATTTTCCACAATGATAGAAGCTAGTTCCCTTGATGATTGTTACCAAATCAATACCACCTTCCTGCATGAGAGGCCAAAGTAACTATTTTATAACATCACAAAACCTTATAATCTAAGATGACAACTAGAGTAAAAATTAGGACATAAAAGGGAAAAAAGTGAAACTTCAGATGCTCAAAAGAACACCCTCCTCCTGTCAAGACCTACAGTTCGAGAGAGACATACCAGGAAGAAAAAATGGTGGCTTAAATCAAACTTACGAATCTCACAATTTGGGAGTGCATGGCATAGTCTTTCACCTTCTTCTTCACTAGGAAACAATTGATCTCTTCCACTAGAAAACAAATGGTTAATTCAACCAAAGATGATTATGAGGATCATAAACTTCAAATTTGGACAGTCAACTTTGTTGCAGTGCTGCCCTCAACTGATGGCATTATAAGTTACATTACATTCGTCTGAATGACAAGATGCTCTTCAACATAGTTTGTGACAGTGCACATATTTAGGACTGTGATGATAAAAACTGCAAGTAAATATCTTTTCTCTCATTTCAACAATAGAGAAGTAGGCATTATGCATTTAGGTTATGAAAAAATATTTTTCAATCTTTCTTTGTTTATAATCTTTGATTCTGCCATTTTCAGTTGACTGCTTCTTTCAATAATTTTGTTTTCCAAACTTCATTTTTCTGCTTGGTGCATTAGCCACTAAATAGGAGAACCTCAAGTTTAGACAAAGCCATTTAATATTGATCAATAGCTCTTCAAAACTGAAAGTGAAATCAACAAGTTACCTGCAAAGTAATAGCACTTCAGCTTTTGTGGCATGGAGATGAGAGTTGGAATATGCAGAAGCAGATTTCAGCATTTGTAGCTTCCATTCGAGCAATTGTTTGGGTAAGATTTCAACCAGAACCTGTGACTTAAAATCATCATTTATCTTTCTACAATTTGCAGCATGTAAATGAAAATCAGAATTTCTTCTTAATATGAACCAAAGAAAGATGTGTAATGCACTCTAAAACACAGGAAAAGAGGCATATATGCTGATTTGCATTTACAGAGAGGTTAGATGATGCAGCAACAATATCCTGTGACAGCTTTCCAACAACAGATTGTCCCGGAGGAAAGCCCTTCACTACATTATCCATCAGCATCCTCAAATGGTCACCTAAAGAAATGATTGACAACTATAAAAGTTGGAAACTGCGATTAATACGACAATCCAGACAGCATAGCCACCTACGTTTAAGACATACTTCTCTTAAGATGCAAATAACAAGCCAAGAAAACAGAAGTTGAAGACCAAGGCAGCAAACCTGTGGTTAAG